GCACTGAACACAAGTTGAGGACACCCTCTCTCTGCCTCTCAAAATGAAAGCGTGCACAGAGACAATACAGATTATCTTGATTTTTCTTCCCAGTGAGATCTAAGAGGATAAATGGAATATTCACTACTGCTGATGCTCTAAGATATCACCTAAACAGCTGTTGTCTTAGGTTGAAATCTTACACAAAGACGTCTGATAGACTCTTTTTTTCCTTTCCTTTACTGTCCTTTATACTGGACAGTATCCTGTTTGAATTTTATATGTGTGTGTGTTTATGCCATGTGAAGTTGGGCCATTGACAGTTATGTGGCCCAACAGAGTTGGGAAAAGCATTTGTGTGTCATGATTGTGTGGCTTGGAGGGGGGCACCATTAGGAGATAGGTCTTAGGGGCAGATGGAACCCTCAATCTGAAAAGGATGCCTTTGAGGAAAGCTTCCTACCTGATAGCCAAGTGGCGTGACTGTGTGTTCAGTGAGTGGTACAGTTAAACATTTTTGTACAGATGCATGGTATCTAAAAGCAGACAGTAGGTGAGCTGATGGAGCAGTAGCTTCTGGGTTGTAGTGTCACACCACATTCATCTAGGGATTGCGAGGAGTGCTGCTTACAAGTTGCTTTTTTTGGGGGTTCCTTTATGGCAGTACATTTCCTTAAAGACATATATTGGTCATGCATTAAGCTAAGTTCATTTTGAACATCTTCCCACAGTTTATCTGGAGTTTTATACCATAATAATTTTGACCAGCTAACTGTTTCAGTCTATTAAACTGGGCCCTAACAAACACTAGAATCTTAGTAACCACATTAAGTTTCTTCTTTGCAAGACAAACAATGAAACGAATCACATTATGATCATTGCCAGATAAATTTCCTTTTTTATTAGTAATGAATAATGAAGCAGCAATAGTTCTTTTTTAAACCTGGTACAGTCTGTCATACTATTGGCTCTAGAACCTACCGCTCCAGAAAACTGTCTTGAAAATATTCAAAGAACTTGCTACCTTTTTGACTCGGGCTAGTTGTTTTGCCCAATTGAAAATTAAAGCCTCCCATTAAAAAACTTTGCTTGTGCCACAGGCTCTCAAACCCTGAATTAACACATTGGGATTTGTGCTATCATTTCACCATCACTGTGGGGCTACTGCTGCCCATGGTTACTCCTGCCAGAGGATCTACTGATATGGTACAGAGCTCTCATGTGTCTTGTGCCATTCTCACCCATTACTGCAACTCATTTGCAGTGCTCTGTGACATCCAACATCCAACTATTACCATCTTGACCTCTCTTTCTGCTCTCTGTACTTCATCCTCTAGAAGAGGCCTTTGTAGTTTTTCAGTTCTGATCAAATGGTCAAAATACTGACTTTTTCTTTTCTAGTTGTTATTTATCGAGTTCCTACTGCTCTTGTAATTTCAAGTAGGTCTTCATTTTTCTTAAGATCTATATATGAAATTTTTAGTGTACCTCTAGCATCCATATTTCAAAGGCCTCCCTATTCTTCCATTGATCTTTACTGTTCAAGTTTCTGAGGCAGACAGGAAAGGGGATAGATTGTAGTATCTTTGAGTTTTTTCCTCGTTACAAGTTTGTGTTTTCCTGTTGTTAACACATCCTTCATCTTTACAATATTATTTCTGACCATTTTTATCCTCCTTTTAATGTCTGCATCACTTTTGCCATCTTCTGTCATCATTTGCCTTAAATAAACAAACTTTTCTATTTGTTTCAGTGTGACACCGTCCACTTCAATCATCACTTTGGTTTCTTCAGATGTGTTCCTTCCAACTATCACTGTTTTGGCTCAATTCATGCTTGATTTCACTTGATCTATGATGCTTACATTGGGCCTCTACTGCTACTGCAACTAGTGCTGTCATTATAATGTTGTCAATGAGGAGAATACATTCTGGCTGGAGGATGAAAGTAATGGTCTATTGATTTAAGAAGATCAGTGGTTTTAGCAAACATCAAGCACAACAATGAAATAGTTGGCCTTTAATTTCTTTTCAATGCCAATGATGAATGATGGGTGAATTATATTAAGAGTAATAAATGCACAGCATTTATGGAGACACTTGGCGTGCAGCAGATGTGTCCCTACCTCTGAGCCATGAGGGCTGAGTTCAAGATCCACCTGTTCCAGAGGTAGGTAATAACATAATTGAACAAGTTGATTAGAAAAATATCTAGAATTGAAGAATGACATGCGATCCTTTTTTGGTTGTCTAAAGGAAAATAAATAACTTGCACAACATTTACTAGGCTTCTTGTGGTGCAGTAGTAGTGTCTGTACCTCTGGACTAGAAGTTTAAGTTCCACCTGCTCCAGAGAATGTTTGAATGAGTTGATTAAAAACATCTGTACAGCATTTACTTTTTATAACTATACTTATAAAAAAGCGTCGCTAATCGTCAAATTGTTGGCTTGGCCTTAGAAAGCTATAGAACTTGAAAGAGCTCAGTAACTCTCTTCCCCCATTTGATAATACACTTAAGAATTACAGCTGGAATCAGGCGGTTAAGCTGATTTTCTCAAAGATATGTTCGTTAGAACAATTATCAAGAGCTGTCATGATAAGCAGTTCTATTTTTCATCCTTCTTAATTGGATATCTGACCCCAATTTCAGCAGCAAAAGGGCAGTCACCTCAAGTTCTATGATCTCTTTAATTGTTAATACATATGCTTTGTAGAATATCAGTCTTACAAAGGAAGAGCATTATTCTGTTACTTAATGTAATCATTGCATGAAAAAAAGTATTTGTTTGTAATTAATTGCTGGATAAAAGGGAAAAATGAGAATGATCTGGAAAGCTCAGTGGTCTCATTAAAAATAATAAGAGGTGTGTTGTGTCTATGACTTCTACCGCACACAAAGAACCAGCAAAGGGCAATCTTACTGGTTCTGTATGGTTTATAGTGTTACAAACTTGCGCTTCAAGATTTGTTTTCTGTCATGAAATTGTACCTTAAATTTGGGGTAAAATGGGGGAATGAAGAGGGTCATGTGACATATTCTGAATCTTATGGCAACAAATGTTGTTAAGGGTTAAAGGGGGCTCAGTTTCTTTCACTGGAAAGCATATGCAAAATGTTCACAATAAACAATAATCCAAGCAGTTATCCTGATGCTAGTTAGACTGTTGGTCTCCAAGTGCCATGGAGGTGTTAGAATGGTCAGATTTTGTACATGTTTATACCGTAAACTGTCTTCTTAACACCAGGAGAAAATAAAATTTGGAGTCTACAGGAAAACTAGTTCGCATTTTTACTTGCATACAAGGCTCATATGATTCACACTGCTATGGAGATGGATTTTGAGAGGGGCAGTGTCCATAAGAATCCATCCAATGTACGATCATGTTGTAAATTTACTTAATCCCTGAACCTCACAGATTTGGTCAGTCTGCTAGCGTCTGTGAGAAAGGGTGGGGAGGAGAGAAAATTGGAATCTGCAAATCTCTAATGTTTACCATGCAAAATGCATGTTTACATTGGAAATATAAAAGTCAAGAGTGTGGAAGACACCTGGGTCGAGAGTTGGAAGCTTTGTTAAATTTGTCTCGTGGCAGGGTTCTCTAGGATAACCCAAATCACAAAAATCAGGTGGGGGTTGGATATTATACAGCTGGGAATGAGAAAAGGACTGACAATAACTTTGCCTCAGCTTAAGAAGAAGAGAGCAATTACTTAAGAGACAAGTAATGTTTAACTATGGAAAGAGCAGCTTAGAATGTTAGTTACCTACTGAACATTGTTTAGTCAATATAACACAGTGT